TAACATCTGAGTCTGGCTATAAGTATTTCATTACGCTTATTGATGACTACTCCAGATATACATGGGTATATTCTATGTGGTCCAGAGATGAAGCACCCAAAATCATTAAAGATTTCAAACACTTGATATTCACTCAATTTCAAACGGAGACCCAAATTTTCCAATCGGACAATTCCAAAGAGTACTTTCATAGTGATCTCATAGAGCTTTTTGCTTCATGTGGATCCATACATCGTAGCTCTTGTGCTAGACCCCCCCCCCCCCAATAGAATGGTGTTGTTGAAAGAAAAAACTGCCACCTCCTTGAAGTTGCTCGTGGGTTACTCATACACATGAATGTTCCTAAATGTTTTTGGTTGGATGTTGTGTTGTGTGTTTTGCCTATCTTATCAACCGTATGCCATCTTGCTTGTTAGGGTACAAGGCCCCCCATCAGCTCCTATTTCCCAAGGATCCCCTCTTCTCTATTCCTATCTGTGTGTTTGGTTGTTGTTGTTTTGTCCAAAACCTATCTCCTACTTGTGGTCAAAAGGGTTATCAGTGTTGTGACCCTGTTTTCAGGAAATACTATGTGTCTACAGATGTGTCTTTCTTTGAGAGTGACCATTTTTTCTTTGTTTCTCCTCAAGAGGAGAGGAAGGGAGAGGAGAAACGAGTTCAGGTTCTTCCCCCTCTGCCTAACCCTCCTTCGTTCTGTGTTTTTTCTCGTCGTCACAAGGGCCAACTAAGTTCAAGAGCTATGGAGCAACTTGAAACTGTACCACAACATCATCAGATTCATCAAGGATAGATCCTATCGAACTAGGTACTCTCATTCTTATTGATGTTTCTGATCCTCTTGCTATTGATACTTCATCTGCTAATTACCTAGACATCTCTATTGCAAAAAAGGGAGTTAGGTCTTGTACCACCAAGTATCCTATTTTACATTTTGTTTTCTATGAGAACATCTCACCCTCTTTTCGTGCTTTCCTTTCTTCCATTGACAGTGTCCCTATCCCTCAAAATGTGGCAGAAGCTTTCTTTGTCCCTGAATGGACAAATGCAATGAAAGAAGAGATAAATGCCTTACATAAAAATGATATGTGGGAGTTAATGGATTTTCCTGAGGGTAAGGAACCAACAAGGTGCAAGTGGGTGTTCATAGTGAAGCATAAGGCTGATGGCATAGTAGAAAGGTACAAGGCCAGGTTGGTGGTAGACGGGTTTACCCAAGTATATGTAGTAGATTATGCAAAGACTTTTGCTTTAGTAGCTAAGATGAACTCCATTAGAGTTCTTTTCTCTCTTGTTGCAAATCTTGATTGGGATCTTCATCAGCTAGACATTAAAAATGCCTTCTTGAATGGTCTAAAACAATCACCAAGAGCTTGGTTCAACAAGTTTCATCTGACTATGTAGTAGATTGGTTACAAGCAGTGTCAGACTGACCATACACTATTTGTGAAAAGGGGGGAAGGAAAGATTGCAGCCTTGATGGTGTATGTTGATGGCATAGTGTTCACACATCCTAGATCTGTCACAGGATTTAAGAAAACTAGGGGTTAAGCCAGCTGACTCTCCCATTGATCCAAATCACAGACTGGGTGACTGTTGTGGTGAGGTTATCAAGGATGTAAAGCAATTCCAGAGACTTGTGGGAAGGCTCTTGTATTTGTCCATGACCCGGCTAGACATTGCTTATGTCGTAGGTGTTCTTAGTCAGATCAGGCATGCTCCTAAGACCACACACTTAGAGGCAGCCAAGAGAATCCTCAGATATCTAAAGAAGTTTCTAGGAGCTAGTTTGCTATTCCAGAAGAATGGGCATTTGAAGATTGAAGTGTATACAAATGCTGATTGGGCTGGATCAGTTGATGACAGAAAGTCCACTAGTGGGTATTGTTCTTTTGTGGGAGGAAACATAGTCAAATGGGGAAGCAAGAAACAAAGTGTGGTGGCTAGGTCTAGTGCTGAAGTTGAGTATAGAACAATGTCCCATGGAGTAGCTGAAGCCATGTAGATAAAGAATTTGTTGAGCGAACTGGGTTTTCTAGTTGATAGCCCCATGTCATTGCATTGTGATAACAAGGCTGCCATCAACATTGCAGCTAACCCAGTTCTTCATGATAGAACTAAACATATTGAGGTTGACAAACACTTTATCAAAGAGAAGATTGTTAATGGGGAAGTGTGCACCCCATATATTAGTTCTAAGGAGCAACTTGAAGATACATTTACAAAAGGCTTACATCACTCGCAGCATGATGACTTATGTGACGAGTTGGGCATGATTGATATCTATGTCCCAACTTGAGGGGGAGTGTTGAATAAGCTAGTCTTACTTTAGTTTAGTGCCGCAAGAGCACATATGTAATTTTACATTGTTTTATTATTTGAGTGATCGCCCTAATATAAATATCAAAAAGGCCGGTGCCGCCAACTGATGTTTTTCTCTCCAAAACCTTTTTTGTCTTTTCTCTCTTCTCTCTTCTCCCTCCTCTTCTCTCACTATTCTGAGACCCTGCTGTGTGTTTACCAAGAAAACAGACTCCAGGGACCATCCTTTGGAGCTTATTATTAATTCCTATTTTGACTGAATTGGAGTTTCATTGTAATAGTTATTTGAGGGAAATTCCAGCCTTTCCTTCTTGGCTGTGAACATTTTTTTGGTCCTCTTAGGCATCCTTGTGGATATATTGTACAGAATCTCATTGTACAGAAGGCTATAAATATTTTTTTATATGAATAAAATATTATACATTTAGTTCATGTAACCTAAGTGATAATCTTCTATTACCCAGAAGATGGACTTTGTGGGTTAGGCCCATGCAATAAGTTTAGGAAGGCTATAAGAGAAAGGGTGTGAAGAACAATAATCAATATTGTAAGTCTGTAGAAAAATGCATGAAATCTGACCAAGTACTGCAGCAGATGTGGAATCAGTGGGACTGAGTTCAGAATTTTCTTTGGTCATTTTCAAGGACGATGTTGCAGAAGAAACAGGGTGAAGACAATGAGGAAGAGACTAAGAAGCAAGAGATAGAATTTGAGGTGATTTTTAAGGAAGTCTGACAGGTATGGAAGAAGATTAATTTGGAAAAAGTAATTGAAGAGGAAGTTCAAGTAAAATGTTAGGACTTTTTTTCTTGGGAAGTGAGGATTTTACAAGAGCTTTTTTGGAGATGGAGAAAGGGAGCAAGCTATTGCTGATATATTGTTTATTGAGAGTGATGAAGCTATGTAAGAGGGCTAAATTTCAAATATTCTGGAGTTGGTGGTGTGTTTTTCTATTTGGTTTAAAGGGAGGGAATGGTGGGTTGGTTGAGTAGGATGTTGAATTTTTCTTGTGCCTGATATATGAGGCTTATATCTCAGTCTAGGGTGGTAAGATGTTAGGGGTTTGTTAGCTAGGAGAGTGTAGCTGATCTTGACTTGGTTGTTTCCCTCAAGGGTGATTCCTTATCACCTTCCTTTTTACTTTTTCAATGAAATTTAAACTTAACATGTATATATTAAACATTGCCTATCAAAGAAATATATATTAAAGCAAATAGTAGAAATTTTAAACTGAAAATAATTTACTTTTATCTTTACTTCTATCAACTTTCAAGTTCACTCCAAACTCCCATATCCTCCACTCTGTTTCCATTTTGTAGAACCCAAACTCAGGGCTAGGGAGACTGAAGAGATACTGTAGATACTGTTAATGAGAAAGAATCAATTACTAAGCAATTGAATGTTTATAACTACACAATAAGAATGCATGAGATGTGAACATGATGACAAAGAATCAGATGTAAAGATACTCATATAGGCGGTTTGCTATTTGGTGGTTGGATTGGAATGGAAGGGTGCCATTTTTTTCTTTTATATATAAATATATATTTTTAGCAGTACCAACTAGTAGTTTGGGTGTCAGTTGAGGGGCCATTGATTGGTACAAGGTTTAACTCTTGGAATGACAAGCATGAGAGTGCAGGTTCAAGTATGATAGTAGTCACTTCTTGGGGGAGAGGGACAGAGAACATTGTGTGTGTGTGTGTGTGTGTGTGAGAGAGAGAGAGAGAGAGAGAGAGAGAGAGAGAGAGAGAGAGAGAGATAGGTAGGGAGGGGAGGATCAGTATATTTGTGTCGAATTTGTTAATGATTCTCACTGAATCCAGAGATTGATTGTATTACACATATAATGTTGATACAATTATAATTTTGGTATGTACAATTGTCGAAGACAAAAATCATGAGAGATTAGGGAACAACTATTTTGGGCTAAAGCTGTAATTGTGGTGTATGTGTAAAACCACAAAGGGTGGCTGGGAAATTCCTATATCTATTGTACTGTTTCATACTAAATATTTATTTAAAGAAACTTCATGTTGCTAATTGAAAAAAAAAAACGCATTTGGATTATCAAAAAAAATCTTTCCGTGGTATAAAGAATATATGAGGATATGTTACAACAATTATAAATGGAAAGCTTAGTCACCAGCTGCCTTTGATTGATGGGATTCTTGTGATTGATGAGATCCCATTGATATGGCTAACACAATTGTGTTATTGATCAAAAAAAAATATGGCTAACACAATCAACCCGTAGAGTTTCTACATGGTATCCTTTGACTGGACCAATGGTTCTTATTTACCATCTTTGTAAGAATACCTTTTCAGGAATGCTGGTTGATGAACAGATAAATATTGGCCTATTCATTCAAATATTTGATCCAAGCTGTTCAGCATGAAGTTGCTGCTATCGTCAAAACTAAGAATGGATGTGCTTTCTTTCGTGTGGTTGTATATAGTAAAATTGAAGTTTTTTTATGGGGATTTTACCTTAAGCGTGTTCATAGAACAGTCTGACGCTCTGAGTGTACTAACCAATTTGGATAATTGTTCAGCTATGGTTTCTAATCATAAAGCTTTTCTTCGTTCTGATTTTATATTGTCTATTGCATTGCTATTTTTAAGATCTATGTGATCTTGTTGAGATGTTTCATGTGTTTTAGTCTTTGATGTCTCTCTAGGGCTCCTACACTCTCAAGATGAAGATGAATGACAAAAATGGACACCAGTTGACATGCATTGGCTTTGATTTCAGCATTAGCCTAGGAATTGTTGTGGTGGATAGTTAGGTAACTGGAAGACTGTTCTGTTCTGGATTGGCATGTAGAGAGAGAGATTGCATTATTCTGTTCTGTTTTGGATTGGCATGTAGATATCCGTTCTATTGAAACTTAAACTAATAAATACCACAAATTTCCTGTAACTTCTATGCTATCTACTTTGTGCCTTGCCTAGATTGACAGATATCTAATTATCAGCTGTATAAATGTTAATATTCAGAAAAATGAGTGGGTTCAGACTGGACTTGGTCTAAGCTAGCCACTTGATCCATTTGGACCGACTGCCATCCCTGTGCTTCAATGTCCAGTGCCAAAATCCCCAAACCTTGGTATTTTAATCCTGAATTCATACTTGGTTCACTCCAAATCATTGGACAAATTGGGATATACAGGCAGACCAGTTTTGTTCTGCTTAGAACCGACAATACATTATTTGGTTTTACATGAATTGGAATTGTAGAGTACCGTAAGCTCTATCAATTTCTGTCCACCCTATATTTGACTTGCTCTTTGTACTTGATGCATTCCTAACAAAAAGCTTTCCATGATCCATATCTGTCATGATTATCCAAAGTGAGCCACCGGGATTTGGACTTGGTTACACATTACAGGGATTAAGGCTCAGTTTGGAAGGAGTACAAATACAAATACAAGGATTTGCATTCTACATATTTGTATTTGTATTGAAAGGAGTACAAATACAAATGTGTAGAGTGCAATATGTTACATTTTGTATTATTTTGTATGTATTTGTATTATACAAAAGTGCAGTACTTCTTCCAAACTGAGCCTAGGGGTGTCGATAGAGCAGGGTGCACATGAAGTCCACTGACGGAACTTGGATTTGGCCTTCACAAAATTGTCTTTACACTCTTCTCACTGCCTTTTTGCAGTCATGCGTGGGGAACATATTCTTACTTGTATGTTTTTATTCATGGGGAGATATTCTCAATGCACAGCTGCAACGGGCTGTGGGGGGTCCTGTTGAGGACCAAATCCAAATTCCCACTGACCTTGGGCATCCAAAGTCTGCAGTTCCTTGGCACCAGAGGAGTGCTGGCTGACCATCTCAGATACTAGATCATTGGCACCTTGAATGCCAGAGGGATACAGGGATGCTGAGCGACCTAAGGCTCAGCTCGGAAAGAGTACAAATGCAAATGTGTAAATATATACAGTGCAAATATATACAAAATAATACAACATACAAAGTTTTGCACTCTACATATTTGTATTTGTACTCTTTTCAAATTGAGTTAATCAAATTTTATAAACATAAAATGATTTTTATTATATAAAATATAAGTATGTATTTAATATATAAACAATATATTGCAAATCAGGTGTGCATTGTTGGGCCCAGGCATAGCCTTAAAATTTCTCGGCCTGATCCAGGCTTATGTTAGGCCTAAACTTAGGCACAAGCCAAAAAATTATGAACCAGGCTGGCTAACCCAAACACGCCCCATATGAAGGATTTGATTTTTTTTTCTTTTTCAAAGATCCAGTCACAATCTCTCTCTCTCATGTGAGATGCACATCTATCTATACCATATAAAGGCAGATATATATTGGCCTTGGGTTCCATGCAGACCACAAAATTAAATCCAAATATGATATATCGTACATGCTTAATATTTGCCCACGTCTTCTTAGTTCTTACACTATTATATTGAAAATATAAAACATCTTTGCTTTTTCACAATTTTATTAAGACTCAGTTTGGAAGGAATACAAATATAAATATATATTGTACAAATACATACAAAATATAAGGTTTTATACTTTACATATCTGTATTTGTACTCCTTCCAAATGGAGCCTAAGGCTCAGTTTGAAAAGAGTACAAATAAAAACATGTGGAGTGCAAAAGCCCGTGTATTTTGTATTCTTTTATATGCATTTGCCCCATATATATACTCCTTCCAAAAGGCTTAATTTGGGAAGAGTATAAAACCTTGTATTTTATATTATTTTGTATGTATTTGTACTGTATATATATTTGTATTTATACTCTTTCCGAATTGAGCTTAAATACAAACCCTTGTATCAATTCAAAAATCATAATTAAATAAATTTAAAGGAGCAATTTTTCCTTTATGATGGACAAAAAGTACTAAAATGTACAAAAAGGTATGGTACCTAACAAATTAACAATCAATTATATGGTATCTTATTTCGATCAGGATTTGCTCCTCACAAAAGACCTCACACCAATCTCACAGCCCTATCTATCCCACCATGTATAGGGAACATCTTCCTATAAATAGCAATATATATATATATATATATGGAGGGATATCTTTCTTGATTTTTCTTTTGGATAAAGCCGATTACATATTCATGCATTTATTAAAACCCACAAAAAATCCAATCATCGTACTAACATGCTTTTATTTCTTTTGATGGCTAAGACATCTTAATTTTTTTTATTTAATAATTATTTTACAAAATAACAGTATATTAAAAAATAAAATGAAGTTGAGGTTGCTAAGAAGATTAGAAAGGAGGGGATAACAGTTGAAATGGCTTTGTCTTTGGCTGTTAATGGCTGAAGCTCAAGTTGGATGAATCACTATATTCTTAAAAAAAATTATTTACTTATTTTATCAACTAAAAGACAAAATTACATGTCTTTACTTCAATAAAAGTCGTGCTGAAAAATAACTTATTACTTTGTCTTTTAATAAACTAAATAATTAAATATTCTAAATTATAGCACGCTACCCAACTTTAGCTTCAGTCGTTAAGGAGCCCCTGGTTTAATTTCTTAAAATCTTATTCACCAAAAGACAAAACAATTCAGCCACTTTGGACGTTATCAAACGGCCCTCAAGAGGACCAGTGGCTGCAATGATCTTACTCTTAAAGAGACCCATGTCATTTCACGGGAACAGTCCATTTCAAAGTTAGAGGGCATAACCATATTTTAGGAGAGCTCCTCACACCAACCTCACCACGCCTCATAGCCACATTAGAAATGTCTCCCAGCGGAGACCTGTGCGTTAGACGAGATTTGTTAAATTAAAAAAATAATAATAAAAATATGTGAGAGTATACAATTATTTTATATAATAATTAATTATATTTTATATACTATTTTTAATAATTTATTTATAATATAAAAATAAAAATAATAATAATTAATTTTAGATAGTGTTGTTTATCAAACTTAGGGATGTTAATTTTTCCCATTTCCTAGATTCTCATGGGGATCTACCCCAAATGGGGCAAGGATGGGATGATTTTCCCCCTACGGGATGGATATGGGGAAATTTTCATCCCTATTGGTGGGGACGGGGAGAGCACTCTCTGCCTTGTGGGGACCTTGATCCCCATGGGATCTCGCTAATATATATGTATATATACGCATACATTTATATATGTGTATATACATCTATATGTTAATATTTTTAAAATATGGTTGAATATGTTTGAGTCTTTTCTAATAGAATAATAGTACTTATTTTTTAAATAAAATAAAAATAAAAATATAATGGTTGACATTATAAAGAATCACAGGGAGTGGGGATCCCCGTTGAGATGGGGATGGGGATAACTTTGCCCCGTTAGAGGTGATGGGAATGAGAACAGGGACGTGGATGGGGATCTTCGCAATGATGAGGATGGGGAGAGGCTCCTCGTCTCTATCCCACTCTGTTGTCATTTCTAATCAAACAAAAGAAACTGACCAACTCAATTTCTAGTATTTCCAATCAGCTTTTGTTCAACAATTTTCCAACCCAACTGAGTTGGATCAGTTTCGCTTTGGTCATTTGTAAACTGATTAAAATCGAACGACCTGACCATATCTATCTATCTATCTATCTATCTATCTATCTATCTATATATGTATATCTAGATATATAGATATATATGTATATCTCTATATACATTTTGAAACCATTTTGAAACCTTTTGCAAACATTTGTATGTATGTATATCTCTATATAAATATATTTTGCAAAACAAATTTCAACAGTTGAAATCGGCTACCGGCAGCTTTGGTTTCCATCAGAGAGTGTATCCCCGATCATTCACTTTGTCCGACAAAAGGGCTGATCCTGTCACTATGATCACCCACTCAGATGAATTCTCAGGCTGTCCCAACATACCTAAGTTTTGACCCCCTCTAAGGATCTCACTGATTGGCATATCAAAGACAGCCCAATCCAACACCTAGTGCAGTATCATAATCGAGTCTAGGGGTCAGGTGTAACATTCTAGTTTTGCCCATCTATCTCCAAGGTCCAGGGCAATACTGGAATTCTGGTCCGGTTCAGGGTTTCAAGAAAACCCTGGCAGGTGTAACCCACACTGCATGTACATCAACTCTCACCCTAGCAGCTGAGACAAGCTACCCCAACCAACTTGGCGGCACATTAGTGTCAGCCTTGGCAGGATAAATCTCCCCAGATCTATCCAATGGTTGTGAAGATTCTAAACTAACACGAGCCTCATATGTGTCCAGTTTAAGGGTTTACACAGAAACACACCATAATAACATGAATCAAATATGTACTTTATTCATTTACATTAAATGTCATAAGGTACATCATTCTATACCAGTGGCTTAGTCAATGGGTCTGCTACATTTTCCGCTGACGCTACCTTCTGAATTAGGACGTCCCCTCTTCCAACTATCTCCCGCAATACATGGTACTTCCTCTCGATGTGCTTCGACTTCGAGTGGGCTCGTGGCCCCTTAGCCTAAGCGATAGCTCCAGTATTGTCACACAATAGTGGAATGAGTGATGTGCTGGATGGAACTACTCCCAATTCATGAATGAACTTTTTCATCCATATGGCTTCTTTGGCAGCTTCACTTGCGGCAATGTATTCGACTTCGGTTGTGAAATCTGTCATAGACCCCTGTTTGCTGTTTTTTCAGCAAATAGCACATGATCCTATCGTGAAAACATACCCAAATGTAGACTTTCTATCATCTGGATCTGACTGGAAGTCAGCATCAGTATACCCTTGGATCTGTAGTGAACTACCATCGAATACCAGACAAAACTCTTTTGTCCTTCGAAGGTACTTAAGTATTTTTTCACAGAAGTCCAATGCTCCTACCCTGGGTTGGCCTGGAATCTGCTTATCACACTCACTGCCTGAGCGATGTCAGGACGAGTGCACAGCATGGCATACATG